AGTGCATCCTATATTGACTCGATACAGGACATGGGATATTAGGTGTGAAATAAAGGACAGGTGATCATATCACCTATCCCCCATCCTGGGGCTCTGCCTGAAACAAAACAAAGCACTTTATCACGCCCATAGCCCTTCCACAACCCCTTCTCAATGCGAATGATAGAACAATGCCTACTTCCAGGAGCATCAGTGATTCACAATTTAAGGCCAGAAAGGACCATTACATCATCTAGACTGACCTCCTGTATACACAGGCCATTCAATTTCACCCAGTTATTTCTGTATTGTCCCAATAACTCATATGTTTGACTAAAGCATGATTTGTGTTTGGCTAAATCATGTCTTTCAGAAAGGCATTCATTCTTGACCTGAAGACACTGAAATGAAGAATCCACCACTTCCCTCGGTAATGTGTTTCAACGGTGGTTAATCACCCTCACTATTAAAAACTTGTGCCTAATTTCTAATTTGAATTTGTCTGGCTTCAGTTTCCAACCATTATTTCTTTTTATACCTTTCTCCGTTAGATTAAAAAGCCCAGTATTTTCTCTATGTTCATGTTCTTGTACATACTATGATCAAGTCACCTCTCAAGCTTCTTTTTAATACATTAAATAGATTGAACTCCTCAAGTCTCTCCCTGTAAGGCGCTTTCTCTAGCTCCCTGAGTAATTTTTCTGGCTCTTTTTTGCACCTTCTTCAGTTTTGTACCATTTTTTTAAAAATGTAGACCTCAAAACTGTACGCAGAATTGCATTGTCTGTCTCACCAGTTCCACATACGGAGGTAAAAATCACCTCTCTATTTCTAGTCCCATTTGTACTTCCAAGGATCACATTATCCCTTTTTGCTACAGCACCACACTGGCAGCTCACACTGAATTGCTTGTCCACATAACCCCTAAATCCTTTTCAGAGTCACTGTTTTCCAGGATACAGTCCCCAACTCTGTAGGGCTGGCATGCATTACTTGTTCGTAGGTATATAACTCTGCATTTGGCTGCATTAAAGAAACACATTGCATGGGCCTAAGTTACCAAGCCATCCAGACTGTTCTGTATTATGGCCCATTCCTCATCATTATTTTCCTCTCCACCAATCCTTGTGTCATCTGCAAATTTTATCAGCAGTGATTTTATATTTACTTCCAGATCATTGATGAAAATGTTGAATAGCATAAGTAGGGTTACCATATTTAAAAAATAAAAAAAGAGGACACTCCACGGGCCCTAGCCCCGCCCCTTTCCCACCCGACCCCACCCCTTTCCTGCCCCGCCCCAACTCCGCCCTTTCCCCGCCCCTTCCCCAAAGTCCCCGCCCTAACTCCCCTCCTCCCTCCCAGCCACGCGAAAAGGGCTGCCCAGCAAACCATGAAGCCGGTAGCACTCGGGCTTCGGGCAGCCCCTATGCCTCCGGACCCTGCGCCCCCGGC